TCATACCTAAAAACATCCTTCCTTTTGTATGAACATGTGAATGGGTCCTGAGTAGTGAACATATATCTGGACATCTTGTACATTAACTACTATGCTTTAATGCAGAACTAAGAGTTTACAACAACAACAAGACTCCATTTAAAGAGCGCCTTTCACGTCGGGAGGACATCCCAAGGCGCTGTACAGTTGGGTCAGGACCCGAGCAGGGGGGAAATGGTCAGGGTGAGGGGAGGGAAAGGAGGGAGCGAGGAGGGGGTAGAGAGTCGAGAGGGGAGCTGAAGGCACAGTCAAAGAGAAAGGTCTTGAGACCAGCATTGAAGGAGGAAAGGGAGGAGGCGGCGAAGGCACTGGGGGATAGAGTTCCAGAGCCTCGGGGCTGAGAGGCTGAAGGCCCGGCCACCGATGGTAGGGCGGTTGGGGCGGGGGATGTGGAGCAGACCAGAGCCAGAGGAACGGAGGGTACGGGCAGGTAGGTAGGGGGATAGTAGGTCGGAGAGGTAGGAGGGAGCGAGGCCGTGAATGGCCTTGTAGGTGAGGATGAGGATCTTGAATTCAATCCTCTGGGGGATGGGGAGCCAGTGGAGGCGAGCGAGGGTGGGAGTGATGTGGTCACGAAGCCTGGTGCGGGACAGTACACGAGCTGCAGAGTTCTGAATGACCTGCAGCTTGTGGAGGGAGGTGGCGGGAAGGCCGGCGAGGAGAGAGTTCCCATAGTCCAGCCTTGAGGTGATAAAGGTGTGGACCAGAGTTTCAGCAGCGTGAGGGGTGAGGTAATGCCGTAGTCTGGTGATATTCCGGAGGTGATGGAAGGCGGTGCCAGTTGTGGCGCGGATATGAGGGAGAAAGAACAGCTCAGGGTCGAACAGAACACCAAGGTTCCCGATTGGCTTTGAGAGGGGGAGAGTGCAGCCTTGGATGCTGATGCTGTCAGTTCCTGAGGTGCGGAGGTGCTGACGCGAGCCAATCAGGAGGGCCTCAGTTTTACGCATGTTGAGCTGAAGAAAGTGTTTTACGCACGTTGAGCTGAAGAAAGTTTAAATATATATAAATATATATTATAGAAGAATTTCTATACAACAGAAGCCTATTTTATCAATGGATCTATTGACGTGATGGTCATCTATATCACTGACTAAATGGTCTCTGAGATAATGTGCATAATGTACATGATGTATTCATTTCATTTACAGCCTTATCCAATGCTGAGTCTATGGCGTCTCTCCCTACACCACGTGCTGCCTGTGAAATGAGATGCATCTGGGTAGAAACACCTAGCTCAATCATTTTTGTAAATAACACTACTAAGTGCATCCTTCCTCCTACAATCCACAGCCTTTCAAAGCACAAGGTTTGTACTACTTCTTGATTTGTATCATCTTCTCTCCTTATCTTTTGACCTTGGCAGTGCTCTGCGGAGCTTGCCCCCTTAATCAGGTTTCGTAGAATAGTATTGCTGATAGTGGTAATGGAGAACACTGTTCTTTTATCTTCATGGAAAATCTGAAGCTATATGTTTATCATTCTAGCTTGATTTATGTGATCCATTTTCATACGTGTGAGTGACACATAAGTGATATTTTGCATTGTAGACATATGCAGAGAAGCACAATATAAAAAAAATCAGTTCTATATAAAAGCCTTGCTAACATCAGACACAGAGAAATTTGACCAGAGAAAGGTTCAGAGATGATGAAATGCTGAAAAGAAGATTCATCACAGTCCCATTTTTCCACCTATTCCATAAACTAGCCCATCCTTCTCTCATCAACCATTTTTTCTGTGGTAAACAACATTCACTGATCTGGAAGGCAGTGGGCAGTCTGTTCCTAAATCTTTGTTAATCTGCACTCTACAGAGCTCGCAGGGTAACGCATTGTTGGAGGACCTGTCCTTCAGATGAGATTTTAAAATTGAAACCTCATCTGGCTGTTCAGGTGGACATTAAAGATCTCATGGCAATCTTCAAAAAGAAAAGGGTGTTTCTTTTGGTGCTCTGGCCAAATAAAAAATGGCATTCATTACATGGTTGTTTGTGGGGCATTGCTGTGTGCAAATTGACTGCGTTACTCACCTATAAAATACGCAGTCACTACACACTTTGAGACATCCTCCCAATGTGAAAGGTGCTATATCAAATGCAAGGATTACTATAATTATTATGCTTCTTTAACTGAACTAAATGAAGTTTGTAGTAACAATACAGATTAGCTACAAACTACACATTTGGAAGCTATTTATTGTACTTAAAGAGCTTGGTAGTTTATACTATAAGCGTTCACTGTATTAAGTTACAGTGGTGAAAATTACCATTGGGTGGCAACACACCCTTCCCAGTCTGTTCTTGCATATATACCCATAGGAAAGGACAAGAAAAAAAGACCCAGGAGCCCATTAAAACTCAGATGAATTCCCGTACTCCACTTCCCTCACAATATATATTTACTGACCATTCAGTCCCCTTCTAAAGCATACACAAAACAGAGACCCCCACACCCTCAAAAAAAAAGGCCGATTCGAAAAAGAACAATTTACTTCAAAAGTTGCTCCCCAACTCCTAAAATCAACCAAAGAACATTCCAGGAGAGAGTTAAGCCAGCAACAACATGAGAGCATTGCTTAGTATCCCCTTTGTACTCTTCCACACCTCTATTGTCATCTGTGGCAAGGTGGGGAAGGAAGGAAAGGCAGAAAGGGGACATCCAACCTGGATCCTTCATGACTGCTATATCTTCACTCGTTCTCAAACATACCAAATCATCAAGTCATCAAATCATCTGACTAAGCCATTTTGAGGGCTGAATTTATGTTCCTCCTTCCAGAACAGTGAAGTTCAGTGTGTTCAGCATCAAAGCTGTCCAATCAGATCAGCTGCTTTCAATGGCACCTTAAATATCATTGACTCCTTCTGTGGATCTTCAGTGGCTAAGGACAATCTAGTCTTTTATTGATGTGCTAATGCAAACTGACTGTCAGACAATTGTCAGAGCATCTGATGTCCTTTTAACTTTTAATAATAAGTGCCTTCCAGTTACAATCAGGAAAGCAATGGTTGTTGTTATCAACTCATTTAATCATTAATGAATCACTTCAGCATTTCCGTTTATTTGCGTCAAACTGCATCCCAGGAAGTTTACTGTGGCTAATTTTCTTCCGGTTCTTCTGTTAGTGAAATATACACAGTAGTTTTGGTCAAAATAGAGAGCGGAAGGGTGAGTTTACAAGTATTACATTAAAAGAAGCTGAAAAATTGAATAATAATGTTATCCTTTGTTTTATTTGTTACTTTCCTTTATTCATTTCTCCCCTACCCATGTATCATACTCTATTTTAACTTTTCAACTCACGCTCTACAAGCTGAGATGGTAAGTTCATACAGAAAGCATTTGATAAATGAGCTATTTTGGTAAATGTACTGCAGGGTACTGAGCCATACAGAATAAGAAGGTGATTGGTTCAACATTTGGCATGTGCTGCATTACCTGATTTTACCCAACATGAGGGCAATTGACTGTAGCATCTTTGGGCTGGGGAGAGGTGGCCAAGTTTCCATTCCTGATGGCTTTCCACTGTTCAAATGTGTGATATTGGCTGATGGAAGGTTCGGGATCAGCTGTGATGCCTCTCACAGTCAAGCAGCTTACTGACACTCACTATCTCGGCTCATACATGAAGAATAGACACGAGCAAGGCTCGAAGGACAAATGATAACTGTGAAACCTTACCTCTGCAAGAGTCAGTGCCGTTAGGTGAGCAGAGATATTTTGTGAGAGAAGTTTTAAAAAATGGTACATTGATTCAGAGGCTGTAAACACTAAGTAGATGCAGTCTAACACCTAGCAGGTGGCACTCCAGTACTTAATTTCTGCCAAACCTTGAATTCTATCTGTGACCTTGCAAAGATAACAGTTTGTTTTTCTAAACTTTGCTGCTTCTTGCATTTGCGAGAAATGGAAGTTAAGACTGATGTCTGCATATCAGTGAGTCTGTCAGAGAATATACATCAAGCGCCACTGTAGTGGCAGCATCTCTCGGTTAAATGACATGGGACAATCAATGACATACAGCTGTCGCCAGCGTGTCGCAGACGGATTCAACATGAATCAGGATTAACTAATCTTTTTTAACTCTAAACAGAAATGATGAAAGTTTCTAAAGTGTAACCATAATGGAGTTCGAACTTCCACATTAATAAAAAGCACACTGAACAAAAACAGCTCAAATCAGGATAATGTAGACTAAATTGTGGTATTTCATAACAGAGTTGTTTAACACAAAATTGTAATTGTTACATTTCTAAAACATTCAATATGATGAACAATGCATTATTCAACACAATTCAATGTTTTAAATATGCAATCATTATGCATTTTTAAATGCAAATTAGCCATTGACAACTTTTTCTTTCATTTCAGGTTTTCGCCAACACATTCAAAATGCTTCAAAATTGCACATAAGCAAATCTTGCCAAGCTATCTATATTGCAATTATTATCCTAAGATTATAATTACATCAAACGCACTGTCAACACAATCAATATCATTCAAAACAAGATTTTGGGAAGGTTTTTAGATTAAGGGTAATTGAAGAAACCACATTTAAAATGTAGCAGACTACTTGTAGAAATTCCATCTCAGTCTAGATTTAGTCTATTAATGTAGCATTTTAAGAGTCAAGAATTTGGCAAATTGTTGATTTGAAGCTTGTTTTCTGAAATTCTTAAAATAATGTACAGAAAACCAGCATCAAAATTAAAGACTATTTGTGAATTTGACAAAATCTGGACCTTTTAATGCTATATTAATGGAGTAAATCTACACTGGGGTGGAATTTGATACATACATTCATACATCTGTTTGGATGTCACATGGGTGTATCCATTATAAAGACTCTTATTTTAAGCAATCAACAGAAGATGAACCCTGCAGACTGGATTATTTTTGCCTCCAGTTTCCTACTGCCTTAAAAATGCTACTTGAGTCTGAATAGTTGAGAGTACTTACTGATGTGTAAAGGTATCCTTCACCATTCATGGCCACGTACAACCCTGACTTCACGCCCTGAATGGCAACGACTCTGAGTCCCACTGGCACAAGGTTGAACAATGCTGCAAGTACAAATTGGCACATTAATAAGGTATGTAACAAATACTATAACTGCAAATATGCACAGGGATCAGTGGAAGACATACGGAATAAATGGGGTTCTAATCCATCTTAATATTATTATCCCTCCAGGCCTGTTATTCTTTAATTTACAGACCTTAAATAGCATTGTTCATTTACATAAGAAAGCTCAGAACACAAAAAGAACAATCAGGTCATCAAGCCCACTTATTACAGATCACACAAAATTTACCTTTGCTTTCATTTGAAATAAGAATAGGAAGGCCATGTCTTTAATATATGAGAAGTATGGATAATTAAGCCAGCAGTTAATTTGGCTTAAAGACGACCAGAGCAGAACAAAGGGCGTAGGTTTAAAATTAAAATGTCTTAAATGGTAATAGAAATTGGATTTTTTGAGTCTAAATATTTCTTTGTTTCATTATCCATTATGTTACATTTATTTACATTAAAATCCACCCGCCACTCTGCTTAATTGGTTCAGATCTTTTTGAATACTATTATAGAGTGTCAGACTGGTGCAGTTGTTCGCCCACAAAACACTCCACTTTGCAATATATCCTGTGAAGTGCTTTGGGACATCCTCCTGACATGAAAGATGCTGTACCAAATGCAAGGATTATTATTATTTTGGGGGAACCATCTCTGAGTCAGAAGGTCTTGCCCCATGTCTGGGTGTTGAGCTCATAGTTTAGACTAACACTCCAATGTAAGTGTTGGGGAGGCATTGCTACATTGTGGAGTCCTGTAGCTCAGTGGTTAGAGCGCTCGCTTTGCCATGGTGGGGTGATAAAGTAATCTGAAATCTCCAACAGGGACACTTCTCCTAACCTCAAAACGTGCCTTAATTCTGCAGCCTCTGAATACCTCAAGTCTGGTAAACAGAACTGAAGTTAATGATAAACATGACATTATGAATAATATTTTTGTCTGCGGCTCAGTAAATCAGTAGATGTGTGATCTACTGGAGTCCTGTAGCTCAGTGGTGAGAGCATTCGCTTTGCAAGCGAGAGACCTGAGTTCAATTCCAGGCAGGTCAGGGCGAAACCTTGGGCAAGTTTCCTTACTCCACACACCTAATAATAATCTCTCCAAAACCAAAAACAATAATAAAAAATTGGTCATTTTCAATCTACCACTGTTTGTGGGACATTGCTGTGCGCAATTGGCTGCCGCGTTCGCCCACAAATATACAGTCAATTCACTTTACAGTGTGTTCTGTGAAGCGCTTTGGGACGTCCTCCCGACCTGAAAAGCGCTGTATCAAATGCAAGGATTATTATTATTGCATTGTTAAAGATGCCATTCATAGGTGGATGTTAAAAATCTCATGACAATATTCGAAAAGAGAGGGGCCTTTCTACCAGTGTCCTAGCCAATAACTGGCAAGATGAAATAAGTATTTACTTCATAGCTGTTTGTGGGACATTGTTGTGCACAAATTGGCTCACAGGTATTACCACAAGATACTAATCACCGCACTTTGTAGTAAATTCTGTCACACTCTGAGATGTTTCAGCAATGTAATAAGGCATTATATTGAATACAAGGATTGTTGTACTATATTCCTGCCCATAGAGAAAGATGCTAAGCTCCAAGCAATTTTAAACAGTATAAATTGCAGAGACTCCATAACCTTGTGGAACTCTACTGGTTGCTTGCCCTAGATGCGTTTTTTTTTCCATTGTCATCACCTTCAGCTTCTTATTGCAAACCAGTTCCAATCCAACTATCACATTTGTCATTAATCCCATTGGCTTTAATATTCTCTAGAAATAATTTTATCCCGGTACTGTGTATTCTTTTTTCAGTTATTTCCTTAAAGAATTCCAGTAGATTCCTTGATACTCGTCTTATAACATTGGTGCTCTTTAAATGAGCATTTAGAATAATCTTCATAAAGATTCTAAACATTTCCCCACTGCAGATGTTTGGCTTTTCCTTTCTAAATCCAGGATCATGTCTTATTCCTTTTATGAATCACTGGTTAGCTATCCTTCAGTTTACGGATATGGATCTGGAGTTTATAGAGGCTTTAAAAATATTGAAATATTAAAATATTATAGAGCTACATACATTTTCTCTCTCTGAACATTAAACATATCTCACCTGACAGGTTTTCTTAAAGGCATTTAATTCACAGAATTTCTTCATATCATAGGTTGTACTGATACTGAAACAATGGCAAGTTGGACTATGATAGTGTGAACTTATAATGAGAAAAATTGCAGCGGGCCACATTGTTATGATCAGTAGATTTATCGACCAGAGTAGAATGGGCAGAAAATTGGAGGAAATGAGAGAGCAATTAAGCCCCTAAAAATATTAGCTTAGTCTAATCTATTTCCACTCAAATTGCCTTATGGATATTATGGTGTACTCAGTCTGGCCCAGTTGTCATCAGGGGGTATGTGACTTGTGATGTGATAATTATCACCTAATTCTCTTCCCCATAGAAATGATGGCATCAGCTTCCAACACATGCTTCACTGAGATCTACTGAGATTCCTGAACAAAACAAATGGATCTGGAATTTGACCACAATCTTCAATTCTAAAAAAGCATGCATAAATTAGTTAAGACATCTACCATCTTCTGATCTATAATATTTCTTCCTAACTTATCCAACAGAGGATCTTAGGTCTTTAACAAGTTTTCCACTGATAACATATATAACATAGATAAAAATCTCTTTGAATCTAACTTGCTGCTGTTTGCAATCTGCCTTTCTATTGCCCTCTTACTCCCTCCAATAAACCTTTTATTTAACTTCAACCAGGAGTACTCACTGCTTTTTATTTTCTTATATTGTTTTGGCATTTAGGTTAGTTTTGACCTCCTTATCAAGCTATTTTGGTGTTCCTCTTCTTGCCATGGTTCTTATTTTCCTGAGAGGAATACATTTTCTTCCCGTATAGCATCAGTAGTGATTCTCCAATAAATTCTCCAGTAAATTTAATGAACGTGCGGTCCGAAATTCCATCTCATCTTAGCCTTTAAGATTATTTTGTCTTAAAGGTTTAAGATCACAAAGAATTGTGAAAATTCTGTAGTTCGTCTTAATTTGAAAGCTGGTTCTTTTTAAAACAAATGGAAATCCAACTTCTGAATCAAGACTGAATTTAAGAATATTCCACAATTCTGAAATATCTTAAATTTGTCTGGCGTTCTTCACCTTGGATACAAGGGGCACAAATGGTGACATGAAAATGATCATGTTATAGAAAATTGTATGGTGTGTCCCCCACCCACTGAATTTAACATAATGGTTGCATGTGACTGCTATTTGATTTGTCTATCCACAGAAGTTCCTGGCATGCTAACTAAACTACGTATTTTTGTTGAGTTAAGCAGGTAACCTGGGAATCGTCACTCTGTAAATTGGTAACTCAATGCTTCTCGCAATCTCTGTGATTAAGTTGGGAGGGGAAGTGGGACAATCATCAACATGACAAAAGCTTCTTTTAAGATTTGAAATTTTCACCCCAACATCAGATCCAACTGTATAAATATATGACTGGTTCAATGATTTCACACAATGATTTCAAATCATAAATATAATTTTGTATTATGGAGTTTATCATTATCTGAAATCAAAAGCATTATTAACTTAAAGTGAAAATAAAATTTTTCAGGCATTTGCTTGACATTTCTGTCTCAGAAAAGGGACAAGATGGCTATGGCATTGGGTAACGGTCCTCCATGACGTTATTCCATAAACCGCTTACCTTATTTACAGTGAAGCTAAATTGTTGATCGTAATATGGCTGAAATAAACTAGTAATGGATTCCTGGAAGTAAAAGTAACACCTATGAATACTGATAATCTGAAGTAAGTACAGAAATACTGGAGAATCAATCAGCAATCAGATCAATCAGCATCTGAAAAAGAATAATAGGTTAACGTTTCAGGTACGATTCTTCAGCAGAACAATTCAAAGGAAGGTTGACATCTCCAAATGTTATCCTTTTTTTTCTCTTTCAGATGCTGATTGACTTTCTATGAATTTCCACCATCCCTGGCTTCATCTTAGTAAAGGATTTCAAGTGATACTGTTACCCACTCATTTGACGGGCTTCAACAACAATACCAACTTGCATTTATATAGTGCCCTTCACACTGGGCAGTAAAGTCTAAAGTGTTCAATGCAATTTGAAAAGATATATATTGATGCGTCAGCCTTTATTTTAAGCAAAAGCATTCTCTTCCTGTCAACAAGATGGAGAAATAAAAATTGGAACATTGGTGTGTGATTGATGACCTCTGATTGACTGCTGGTGTAGTCAGGCATGCTTGATAGGTGATGTATGATTCTATTACATGTCATTTCACTGCAGCAAAAAGATTACTAACCAAGCTAAGAGTAATCCTTCTTCTCTGAATGAAGGTCTCTGATCTACTCACATCAGGGTTGGCACAGTCCATTCTTAGAATCCATAGCTACATCTTAAAACATAGGGTATGATTGTCCCAAAACCTTCTGGCAAGATGCCTTCAGATAAGATGGCTGGCCATCTCGCAACACCTTACTCTCATATCAATCAATTAGCCAATCAACAACTTCTTTTCAAACCAGGGCCGGACATCTACAAATTAGGGAGCCATATTGCAAAGAATGAAAGTCGTTGGGTTGTATAAATGTCTTAAGGCAAAAATGCAATATTTTGAGAAATGCAATACTTCAAAATGGTAAAGTCTAAAGTGTTCAAAAGGACAAATTGATTTACCAAAGGGACTATTAAAATATGCATATATCAGACTAAGAAGATGTTTTGCAGCATATAAAAATGGGTGTAATAATGCAACTAGAGACATTTTTCTCAAGTACAGTATGTCTTTTTCTTAGCATTTTAGAACATCCAATTGTTGGAAAATTCTTAAATACAGTCGTAATTTTGAAGCTATTTTCTGTAGGTTCTTTTGAACCAGCTTCAAAATTAAGACTGAATTTAAGACTTGTCAAAAAATGTTGAAGTGCTA